TTGACTGATAGTAACTTGACAAGGACATCAAGCTAATAAAGAGGAGAACATGCAACAGAAGTTGCATGTTCATGTCATCCCAAATTCGTTATTAAAGTTCAAAATAGATGTTTAAGCAGATTTATTTTGCAGAGACACGCCATGAGAGTAGAAAAAAGAGTATTTACAAAGATATTAAGTACATAATGACCAAATCTAACCTCTCTCTTGATCTACTCCCACTGTAGGCGTCTCCACCCACAGTTTTGTCATCTAAGCAAGGAAAAACAGAAAAAAAGTTAATCAAACAAATGTGCAACAAAATAAGATTTGAAGATGGCATCGTAAGCAGAGGGTCAATCTACTATTAGAAAGTCCATGCCAATGTCAACTGTGGTAGTATGTTTGACATCACACATGGTGACGAGTTGCTTGATGAATCCTGTTCACTTCTACCGGATAGTCTGAGAAGCCATAGATAAGCCCACATGATTTTGAATATTGTTCTTGTGACGCTAATTTCATCTCTTGGAAAATTTCTTATTGTAACACTTTCATTATCTATCAATATTCTTCTGACGATGAAATCATTATAATGCGACCTGGTACTATTAGTCTATCATCCATAGTTGAATCAACAATTTGTAAAGAATATTGATCTCCAAAAATCAACTTTTCAATCCTCTATAGGTCAGTCTTTTTACCGCAATTCTCATTGACATCCTACTCCCAGGAATTCAATTTCTTACCAAATCACGTCAAAGGTTAGGATCCTTCTTTGATCATATTCATCCCTCTTTCCATGGGGTTAGGTGTATCTTTTAACGAAGCTTGTACCGATGATCGTTATGAAAAATTTGCTCTGATTGGTTTTCTTTTCATCTAGACATGTCCCATGTCCATCGCACCAATTGTTGATGGAAATAGGAGGATTATGTTGACTAAGAATGATTCATTCTTTTAGATTTGGATGGAGAGTCACAGCCGGTGATGGAACAATTGTCAATCAGTAGTATTTGTGTGAAGAGACGAATATAAGTCTAGAAGAATAATAAATAGGTTGTTTGGTTTGAAGAAGTCCCTTTTTATCAATGTCTAAGAGCTTATAAATTGATCGTATATTTATGATGGTGTCAGACCTATGATTATAATTTATGTTAGTACTATGAAGACAAAATGTAGCCAGTAATCAATATGATTATAATTAAGTCTAAGACTTAATTCGTAATTCAAGACGTATGATGCCATTACCCATTAGTTTTGGAATTAAAGCGTGACATTACATCCATTGGTTTCACTCGTAAAATGCACCAATTAAAAAAATTTAAAATAATATCTAAAGTATATTGTTCTCGTATTTATTGTCCCAATTTGATTTTGGTCAGTGATCGCCCCTCTCACCTACTTATCTTTTATTTCCCTAATTTATATTTAGGGTAAATTATCTATTTGGTCATCAATCTAATACTTAGTTTTTGTTTTGATCACCAAAAATTATACCTATCACTATGTTTTGGTTCTGTTTTAGCCACTCATCATTAAAAAATTAATGATGATCCTGATGCGATAATTTTAATTATTTCCCAATGTGATAATTTTAATTATTTCCCAATGTTAACATGACATTATCTTGTGGTGACACAGTAGCATCACCATTATTTTTTTAACAACGGACGAACAAAACAAAACCAAAACATAATGTTAGATATATTTAAAAAATAATAATAATTAGTAACTAAAACATAAACTAAAAAATCTGAGTAACCAAATAAATAATTTATTGTTGTATTTATAATGGGTTATATCAATAATATAATTAATTACTTATTATAAATACAATTTATAATCTTTTTTAGCATAATGTCAACAACAAAAAATAACTCATAGTGTTTTAAATAATTATTTTGATATGTATTCTTTTTTAGGGTATTTTAGCTAGTGACAAATTATTTTAGGGAAAAAGGCTCCCAACGTTGATTAAATAATCACTTTAGCTCTCATTCTTTGTTTTTATAATATTTTAGTCCATAATGTTTCATTTTAAGATAAAAAATTTATATTTTAGAGTATTATTCATTTGTTGATTGACAATTTTCATCTAATTAAAGACATTTTATCCTAAAATTAATTATTATGGACTAAAATATTTTTAAGAAAAAATTAAAATTAAAATAACTCTTAATCAAATATTAAAGATATATTTATCATTATATATTTTTTTCATTTGGTCCTATTCCATGATACATGCCAAACCAACACTGAAATTCAAACAATAAAATAAATAAAACGTGAAGTCCATAAAAGTTATTTTGTTGTAGTATGAAGTTACTTGAAATTTATTAGTAATGAATCGAGGGTCGTTGGGACGTTCGATGTTTTAAAATTTTGGTAGACTGTATCGTTGACCACTCAATTATTTAACCTTCTTATTTTTATCATCGATCTTTCAGTTTTGTCAATCAGACCACTTAACTATTTAATTATATTCAATCAAACTACTTGTAGTTAATATTTAATGGAAGTGCTGATATGACAATTAACAAAACTGGTATAATTGTACATTTAGTCTTTAATACTTACACATTTAATTAATATGGTCCTAATTTTAATTTAATTAATAAATTTAATCCCTTAATCAAATTTTGACACGTGTCACAACATATTTGGAAGGTGTTTCAGAGAAAAAAGGCAAAACATTTCATAAAATAAAGGGCAAAAGGTGTTGCAGAGAAGCTCAAACTCAAAGAAAGAAAGAAATGTAAAAACGCTTTGCATTACGGCAACCCATAATTGATATCTCTTCTACCATGCACGAGAGGAGAGTGAAAACAAGTATATAAGAATAGATGGTCATTTTGAAGAAAGAGCTGGCTTTTATAATGGACAAGGGTTTACTTCTACAGTTTACTTCAATCAAGGGTCGTAAACCAGTTTGCCACGCTTGCATTTCCAGCTCATAGATAATTGGTGGGTTCTCCAGTTTTTGGGTAGTGTTGTGACAGGAACATGAATTGCCATTCAGTATAATATGTTATATTGTAAATGATGCATAATGTAACCATGTAATGGGTTAAGCTCAGTGGTGTTGGCGTTAATATACCCTCCAAATAGCCCAGGTTTGAATCCCAACTTTCTCACTTATATGTTTCTTATTCTACTTATTTTCTATTCAATCGGATGGTACTTATATGTTTCTTATTCTACTTATTTTCTATTCAATCGGATGGTGGCACGTGTTACCATCTGATTGGGTGAAAAATAAAATAGTTAAAATTATGAAAGTTCTCTCTAATTATGTCTATTCAATCGGTGACATTCTATCCAATCGGAAGATGACACGTGACACTATCTGATAGGGTGAAAAATAAAAATAAAATATTTAAAATTAAGAAAGTTTTCTCTAATTATGTTGTGACATGTGTTAAAATCTTGTCAGAGGATTAAAATTTTAATTAAATTAAAATTAGGACCAAATTGAAAATTGTATAAGTATTAAGGACAAATGTATAATTATACCATTTTTTTTAATTATCATGTCAACACTTTCATTAAATATTAACGGCAAGTAACTTGATTGAATATAATTAAATAGTTAAGTGATCTAATTGATAAAATTGATAGATCAATGGTAAAAGTAAAAAAGGTTAAATAGTTGAGTGGTCAGGTATAGTTTACCCTAAAATTTTTAAATATTTATATATTATTTGTTGATAGTATATTTTCATTTTCTTAAAATTTTATAATTTTATTTTTAAAATATTAAGAATTCATCTTCCCTAATATAAAATTATCAGTTAACCTGGTGATACAAATAAATTTAAAAAAAATTCCTTTTTTTAGTTTGATTGTAGTTTTAAACTCTCAATTATTTAGCATTTAAGATTTAATTAATTAATTTATTATAATTCAAGAAAAAGATAATATTTTTAATTGTTATGGTTAAAATGATTACATATTTTTTATTTTAAAGAATCAAAACCATTTTTCTAACATGCAAATTATTATTAATGAAATATTGTTGATTTGATTTTCACGTAAGTTTAATTATATGATTTAATATTAGTAATAAAAAATTCACATAATCATTTTAATGATAATTAATTGTGTTGTCATCGTGATCTACTAATAATATTGCAAAAGTAGAAAACTTAGTTTTGTTAAATTAAAGTAATAATGTATTAAATCACATTTTCAGCATAATACATGGACTAAAACCAGAAATATGACTTTTGCTTTGGCTGTTTAACTGACCTCTTCGACACGGCGGTTTACCTGAGATAACATGTTACGTGTCCGCGGAGAAGCTCACTCGACAGTGTCGGCCGCTAAAATACAAAGACTCGGTCTTTTCATTATTTTTATTTTTTTTAAAATGATGAGAAAAGTACATAAATAGTCACCCGACTATAATAATCTACTTTGTTGAGTCCTCAAACTATTAAAAGTTACAAAATAATTTTATGACTATAAGTTGTTGTTTTGTTAAGTCTTTTGACTATTAAAAGTTATAAAATAATCATCAAACTATTCGTATGCTCCAAAATCGTCCTTTTTAAAAAAAAATTAGCGGCCATATGAGCTAGACAATAACCTACTCGCTGTAATAATAAAGTTTGATGCCAAAATTGTTTGAATTTTATTTTTTGGATCAAGTATTTGCTTATATTACACCATTGAGCCAATGTTTAAAACATTCTGTTGTTGATTTTATCATATCACATCTAGTAGATTGACGTCCAGTTCAAGAGATCGTTAATTTTTAATGAAAAATGATAAATTTAAAATACAAAAATAATTAAGTGATCATTTTATAAATTTTAATAGTTTAAAACCTAAAAAATTAACATTTTATAATTGGACGACTCAATAAAGTAGATTAAGTATCATTTGTGTACTTTGCCAAGAAAAGCATTTTGTAATTTAGTGTAGCACATGCACTTTTTGATTTTTCTGTGGGCAATATTCCATTGTCGAAGTGTAGTATTTGAATTTTCTTGAATAATGAAAACCGAAGATAAACCAAGAATCGAAGTCAACTAAGGGGAAAATCATAGTAACCCCTTTTTTGTGGTTGAATTGAGCTTACAAATTGCTTCGTGAAAACAAGAATTTTCAAGTGGGAATTTGCTTCTTCTTATTCCCTTTGTTTGGGGTTAAGAGATATTTGAAGATGGGGGTTTGCTGGGGTTCTCCAGCTGACAATCCAACTCCAAGCACCACTGATCATCTCAGTTCAGGTATTTATTTCATAGATTGTTTCTTAGTTTTGCTCAATAATACAATTTGTTAAGTGGGTTCGATTTTGTTTTTGAAATTTATTGATGCAATCCATATTCTTCTTTGCACTCGGCACCAGAAATCAAGTTTATGGTGATGTTTTGTTGTTGTGTTTTGGCCCTTGACTTGTGTATTTCTGGAATATGTTTGTTAGGTTCTGTGTTTTGATCACTACATACTGTTTTATTATGTTTTGTTTGCTGCATTATTAGTATTAGAACTCCATGTGTTTGACAATCTCACTGTCTGGACATTGGCTAAGCACATTTCAATTCTGTGGATTTCCATAGTTGAATCTCGGACAACCAGCAACACAACATCTAGGGGCAGTAACATCTCCCGGGACAGCAGGTTCTCGGTTTCGAGCGGAGACGGGGCTTTTCAGGATGGGCAAATTTTGCCCACCCCTAAGGTAAGGGACTTCAGTTTTGCTGAAATGAAGGCCGCAACTAAGAATTTTAGGCCTGATATGGTGCTTGGTGAGGGAGGCTTTGGTAAAGTTTTCAAAGGCTGGTTGGATGAGAAGGCGGTAGGGAAGAGCGGAAGTGGAACCCCCATTGCAGTTAAGAAACTCAACTCTGAGGGCTGGCAAGGATTTGAGGAATGGAAGGTAATTTCATTAATTCTCGAGTTATCGTCACTTGCATTTTCTTCTTTAATTATTGCCATGGATTTTCTCTTGAGATCAAATGTTCATGCATGTAACACATCTGCTTCTAATTAGTAATTACCAACAATGTCTCATTAACTAGAACCAGGAAAATATGCGGTAGACATTGTCTGCTATTTACAGAAAATGATGTCTTTAGAGTTCAAAGCTTGTTGTGCAAAGTAAAGAGGACTGGAAAGTGAATAAGTATTTAAGGCTAAACCATATTAATATGCTTTGCATTGCTACTTTTTACAGTTTGCATTTTGGGATAACCAGTTTCATGCCCCCAAACCTCCAATACCCCACCGAAGCTCCACGAAATTTGTAGCTCCAAGAGTTTTACAAATGCCATATCCCGTATAACTTCATAGTATAGTTCCATGTCATCTTGCGTAGGCACTTTTGGCTTGCACATGTTGTAAAACTTCAAAATCTCTCTTTGTGATGTGCATCTATAGCTCACATATTTCCACCTGCATTTTGGGAACTGTTTACTGCTTGTTTTACTTATTTTCTTAGAATATTTAAAATGTATAGATGTTCGTGGTTGCTAAAGCTTTTGCTGTCATTTATTGGTTCAGTCGGAGGTAAATTTCTTAGGGAGGTTGTCTCATCCTCACCTTGTAAAGCTGCTTGGATACTGTTGGGAGGATAAAGAGCTTCTTCTCGTTTACGAGTTTATGCAGAAGGGTAGCTTAGAAAACCATCTATTCGGAAGTAAGAGTTTAGAAATTAGTTCTTTATATCTCCAATTTTTCATACAAGCATACATGTTATGCGTGCACACTTCCCATCTCTTATTTCCTGCGAGTTAACTTTGTTCATCGCATTTTTCATGGTTTTTGTTATCCAGGGGGTTCTGTTGTCCAATCACTTGACTGGAACATACGGATTAAAATTGCGGTAGGAGCAGCAAAGGGCCTATCTTTCTTGCACTCGTTGGACAAGAAAGTAATTTACAGAGATTTCAAGGCCTCAAATATACTACTGGACGGGGTAACTTTCCGTATAACTTGTGTATTTGTTTAGGGATTAAAGGCTTAAATAATTGATGAATTATAGAGTATTCTCCTTGAGTACATGCAAAGGAGACGTAAATTTAATGTAGTTTGGTTTTTGGTTACATTGCAGTCCTATACTGCCAAGTTATCGGACTTTGGGTTGGCCAAATTTGGTCCTTCGGCTAGCCAATCGCATGTTACAACAAGGGTAATGGGCACATATGGTTACGCTGCTCCAGAATATGTTGCTACAGGTAATCCTCTGAAACCTTTCCAAATTTTAGGTGTTTTCATATGTGATGTCCGTGCATTGCTACATATTATTGCATTTTCAGAACAATAGAGCAAAACCCCATTTTTCATTTCTCATGACTGAAATACTTTACCTATTTAACAGGGCATTTATACGTGAAGAGCGATGTGTATGGTTTTGGTGTTGTTTTAGTTGAACTACTCACCGGGTTGCGAGCACTCGATACAAATCGCCCCAGTGGGCAACATAGTCTGGTGGACTGGATAAAACCGTATTTATCTAATAGAAGGAAATTGAAGAGCATAATGGACCATCGGTTGGAGGGCAAATATCCTTCCAAAGCCGCGGTTCAAGTAGCCCAGCTTGCTTTAAAATGTCTCGAATCTGAACCTAAATACCGCCCTTCGATGAAAGAAGTTGTACACATTTTGGAACAGATCAAGTCAATAAATTATAATCCGAAAGAACCAAGAAAGTGTGCTGCTCGTCAAACAACTCGTAGGCATCACCAGCAGCCATTGCACCAACGTTCTCCGCTTGCTCCAAAGCATGAAACGAAACGTGCATACTCGAATCCTCCGTAGCCTAGGTAAGTTTGGAGCATCTGCCCAATTTGTTGCAGTTTTCAATATTAACATGCTAATTTGTTGGATATATATGGATATTTGTAATAGTTAGATTGTAATTATTTCATTAAGTACGACTTGTGCATGGTATCTTGTTTGCGACATTTAGTATTTTACAATTTTATTGATAATTTGAGATAATTTAATCTTTGTTGTAAAGTAACAATGTGGATTCGTTCGTATTGTTATTCATGAAAATTCAACCATTCATAAATTTATATATTGTTTAAATGTGTAAGGTTCTTTGTGGCACTTAATAACGTTATCAATTTTGACGTACTAATGGATTCTCGATACTATGGCTGGAGAAAACCCAACGACAAACGCTATCCCAAACCCTTGGGAGACAAGGACTTCAGGAAATTTGCTAGAAAATATCGGACCACCGACGATACTAGCAGAACAAAGGACAACAAAAAGGGTCAAAAACTGCGACGATTTAGCGATGGATTAGGAAGATAGATATAACTACATACGCACGCAAGAAGCAAAAGCAACCCTAGCAGAGAAGTATGTCAAAGATGACTCAGCCCCCGATAGACTCTCCTACACTGAAATAACAGCAAACAAGAACCGGAGAGGCAAGAATCCTATAACTCCAATGAGCGAAGAAGAGATTACCCTCACAGATGGAGACGTACCCGTAGACAAATCGGGCACCTTCTCCAAGATCAGGTTCTCCGAAAGAATACATGATCTGATTGACCATAGCATGAGGCAAACGATTATCGTCCGGCTTTTGGCAAAGAAAATAGGGAATAGAATCTATATGCTATGGAAGCCGATCAGTAAATTGAATCTAATCAACCTGGATAACGACTATTTCTTAGTCAAGTTTGAACATATGGAAGATTATACAAAAGCTCTAACAGAAGGACAATGGACAATCCACATAACCTACTTAACAGTCCAACCTTGGTCTAGGAGTTTCTCAACAACGAAAAAAAAACCCCGTCTCAGGTGATAGTTTGGATCCGTCTCCCAAGGTTGCCATACATATAGTACTCGAAGATGATATTTAAATCAATAGCGAGAACAATACGTAGAGTAATTAGAGTCGATTACAATACGAATGCTAGAGGAAGTGGTAAATTTGCAAGATTAACTGTGTAGAGGATCTGAATAAACTGCTATTACCATGCATCGGAGTTGACGACTTCGTTCAGAAAATTGAATACGAAGGTCTTCAACAAATCTGTTTTCCTTATGGACTCTATGGGGATTTCAAGGAGATCTGTCCCACAAACAAAACAGATTCAACACAACCAAGTTCTTCAAGCGCCCCTTCTACTATGAACATCCCGACGCCTGCACCAAAAGAATACAACCAATATGGTCCATGAATGGTCCTCCTACCTAAGCCGAGAAAACCCATAACCCAAACCAATGCCATTAAGAATGTGAATATTGCCCCCAACAGAAGTACATGGTCTCGCTTTACCCCACTCCAAGAAACGATTGAGGATACAGAAGTAACATCAAGAATACTGACCCACAAGCAACCTTTCACTGGGAACACCCAAAAGAAGGGATCCCTAGATTACTCTAAATCTGTTCAGCAGAATCAAAATAGGAAAGGATAGTCCAGCGCCAAGATCGCTAGCAAGCAAAGCTCTAACATAAATAAAAGCGCTCTCCAAAAGAAGTTGATGGAAAAGGGTTCTAGCATCGAAGGATTAATTGATGTCCCTATCACTAAGAGTGATCTAGATATTCCAAGTGTTATAACGAACAACAACACGAGTAGCAAGCCTATCATTATAGCTGATACACATGCAGCCATACAACAACACCAACCGAAAATTGATAAGGAAAACCACTCAGCTATCTCAGTACTGCAAAATGAAAACTGAGTCTTACTCTCAAAGGTGGCAAAAGACAAAACCTATTGCAACAAGGAACAAACCAAAGAGCCTAAAAATCAGAAAACCAGGTGAATATAAGGCTCCGAGCACGCCCCTTCTTTCTAATTGGATCATTTCTACAACTACGAAGGCAAGTCCGTCCCAAACTATGAATGTGGAAGCAGCATCAGACCCGAATATTAAAGAAAATGAAAACGTAGATAAATCGCTGAAGGTGGCACTAGAGGTCGAGAATCATAAAACACCCAACTATTAATAAAATATGGGTAAGCTAATGTTCTGGAATACTCAAGTGGTAGTTTGTTAGATCTCTCCTTAATTGGAGAGGTTCTAGAAAATTCTAGAGCTTTCTGGGGAAGTGTAGAATTTTCTAGAACATTCCTAAGAACTCTAGAGAAGTGTAGAACTCTCTAGAAGCTTGTGGAAGAGTGCGGAATCCTCTGGAATATTCTCGAGATGTGTGGAACCTTATGGAAAAGTATAGAAGAATATGGAAGGGAGTGAAAGAGTGTAGAGCTTCCTAGAGTGTGTGGAGTATTCTCGATAATTAATCTCTACCCTTGGATGTAAGTAATCTCCACCATTCATTGTGGAGGTGGAGTAGTATAAATAGGGGTGAGAGACTTCATTCCTAACCATCTAAGAAATCCAAGCTTGAGAAACTAGAGAAACTAGAGAGTTAGAGAGCCTCTTTGAGAGAGAAGAGAGATAGTCTTTATCCTTAAGCTTGAGTGAACCGCCAAGTATGAGTCAAATTATGTGAATACATCTTTGTAATCCTACTATTCTTTTGTATAGTGGAAGAATCTCCAAATTGGAGAATTATACTTTTGTGCTCTCTTTACTATCCTTAATCTCTAAGTGCCTATCTTAACTTCATAAAGCGAGAAAGGCCGTGATTCCCAACTGTGGTACTAGAGCTAGGTTCATCCATAGCCGTAATTAGCTCGTGCAGTTCAAGATGGAGGATAATGTCACTCATGACGGAGACATGTCCAAGCTAACAGCCAATAACTACTCATATTGAAAGCCGATAATAGAGGACCACCTGTACTGCAAGGATTTGCATAAGCCCATCATCTACAAAGACAAGATAGAAGGCAAGAGTGATGCTCAATGGGAACTACTAAATCGGAAGGTCGTTGCTATGATCTGTAAGTACATTGATAAAACCCTATTTGAGTATATTTCTACTTATACAAATGCTTATGAACTATGGACAAAGCTTGAGTCCATAATTCAAAAGAAAACGCCTTGTAACAAAGCCAATTTAGTACGACGGTTGGTGAAATTGGAGTATAAGGATGGTCAAAGTATGATTGAGCACTTAAATAATTTCAAGGGGCTCATAAATCAATTAACAAAAACCGAGATGAAAATTAATGATAAGTTGCAAGCCCTTCTACTCCTTAGTTCCTTACCAAAAAGTTGGGATACACTCGTTGTTACACTTAGTAATTCAGCTCTGGAAGGAAAGCTCACCATGGATACCGTTAGTGATAGCTTCACGGTAAAGAAGCAAGGAGAATGAAACGAGGTGAGTCTATTCACCACGAATCTAATATTATTGAGAATCGGGGTAGGAATGAAACTCGTGGACGCATAAAAAGCTAAGATCAACATCAATCTCGAGGTAGATCCAAGTCACGCTCGAAGATTACATGCTACTACTGTGTAAGGATAAGCCACAAGAAAATAGAATGTCGATCCTTCAAAAGAGACCAGAAGGCTGGTAATGTTAAGCTAGACTAAATCACCAGAGAGTCTCTTTGAGAGAGAAAAGAGATAACTTGGGAAGTCTTTATCCTCAAGCTTGAGTGAGCCACCAAGTGTGAGTCAAATTCTGTGAATACATCCTTGTAATCCTACTATTCTTTTGTATAGTGGAAGAATCTCCAAATTGGAGAATTATTATCTTGTGCTTTCTTTACTATCCTTAATCTCTAAGTGTATATCTTAACTTCACGAAGCGGGAAAGACCGTGATTCTCAACGTAGTTCACCCTTTATTTCACAGACATTTCAAAGGAATTATTAAGGAATAAGAACCTAGCCTTGTAGCCTTAACCGAGACACACGACAGTGGATACAGAGCAGATAAAATAATCGAAACATTTGGTTTTGACAACTCTTTTAGAGTCAAAGCTCATGGATACAACGGAGGGATATGGCTACTTTGAAAGACACCCCTCAACGTAGAAATCCTACAGATTGCCAATCAATTTATTCACGGTAAGTTCAAAATGGAAGGATCGGACCAATGGCATTAGTTCACAACCGTCTATGCTAGTCCCAATCTAAGCATTCAGATATACCTATGGGAAACTCTGTCCAATCTCCACCCACCAAATAATGAGCCATGTGTCGTAGGAGTAGATTTCAACTGTATCCTCAAACTGGAAGACAGATATGGGGCCAATGCAAATAATAAGGGCCAAAGTAAAAGCTTTACTGATTTTGTTTTCCATAATGGTCTCATGGAAGTAAATTTCAAAGGCCAAAAATTCACATGGCATCGTGGTACGGGTGTCTCATGAATATCAATTGGAATATTACTTTTCTTGGCTCAAGAGTAATTCATCTAGACCGCATCAAGACAAACCACTACCCCATAATTTTGCAAATGGAGACGATATCGAAGACGAAGAAAGAACAATTTAGATTTCTAGCAGCATGGCTCGATCATCCTGACTTTGAGAATTTCTTACAACGAAATTGGGATGAGAGCAAAGAGATATTGGCGAACTTGGAAACCTTCACAAGAAGATTGAAGGGCTAGAATCATAATATTTTTGGAATAAGCAAGGTAAGGAATAAAAGAGTGATGGAACGACTAAGAGGAATAGACAAAGCACTCCAAACACACCACTCGGGCAAGCTTATCGAACTCAAAAAAGAACTCAAAGTTGAAATGAACTCCATCAATAGGGAGGAGGAACTTCTATAGGCTCAAAGAGCAAGGTGCAAATGGATAGAACACGTGAATAGAAACACTAGATGTTTCCATACAAAGGCAGTGGCAAAATATAAACGAAAGCTGATTGATACACTCCAGTTACATAATGGAAGACGATCCTCAGATCCGAATAAGCTCAAGGCACATATCATAAAAAGGAACTATTCTCTAATTCCTTATTAGCACCTCAATCCTACGAA